GATGAAGTGATTAAACTCTCAAATTGTGGCCAAGTTCTGTGCAGAAGGGATGATAATATCCAGGCCCAGCTACCAAAAGTGTGAAAAAAACTATGTCAAATAGTAAAGTAGATAGATATGTAGATGTTTCTCAATAATAATAAAATTCTCTATCTTAATTGGTTTTATTTTAATGGCTGGCTAACTCTTATTTTTGATACATGCCTCATATTAACTTGATTCTGTTAGATTTGTGACACAAATTCAGATTAAATATTTTATTTAAATTGGATATTCAGGGGTCACTCTGGAAAGTTTTAAAACATTGTCAACCATTTCACCAGTTTTAAATATGCTTCCCAGACACCAAATTAATAAGCTGTCATTTCAGGGTCACTTTTTTCATAGCTCCTCTCTATTTTAGCTTTCTATGAGTCAAACTTGCTTTTTTTTTGCTTCTTTCACTTCCCATGTGGCCTTTTTTTTTTTTTTTTTTTTTTTTGTTAATGTGCTCAGGAAAAAAATGGAAACCAGTATGCCCCTATACTCATTATCATGTGACTGTGTGCGACATGATAAGGCACTGTCATCTACACTTGTATTGTACATGTATATAGTGCTAACATAACGAGGAGCTTTCCAAGGCTTGCTACTCTGCACATGCTGTAGGAATTTGTGCATTAAGTTCTTGCTTGTATCCTTGTGAAATACTGATCTCTGCAGCACTTTGATACAGTCACACTGCACTAAGGTGTAAGTACATCTATAGTTTGGCATTAAGAGTGATTTTTGTATGGCATTATTTTTAGCATTTGTATTTATTTAAGTGCAGTGGACAAAAGAAAGAAATAGATTATTTGGAAATCAGAATTCAGAAAAACTCATAAGTGTAATTGACAGTGAGTGGATTCAACTGTTAACCTGTCACCCCACGGAGGTCCATTTCCTCGATATTAACATCAAGATTGAAGGGACGGCAATCCATACAGAGGTGTACCGTAAACCTGCTCGGAGAGCTTGTACATACCAGTGGGCTCATGTAACCCATTACAGTATAAAGTCGCAGCCTTTTTGAGAGAGAGAGAGTGCGCACACACATACATGTCCACGTAACAGGCTATCCAGGCCGAGCTAAGGCATACGCAACACATTGCCAATGAGTACGGATACTGCAAGCTCACACGCAGGTTGATTGACAAATTCCACCAAAATCCTGCCCAAGTCCTTTCCCAGGGAGAAGACTGACCCGAGTAAGATAAAATCGTTCCGGTTACTTATAACCCTTATCTCAAATCACTGTATACTGAGATAGCTAAAAAGAGCCACATCCACATCGCTTACAGAAGATGTGCATCTGTATTCAACATCCTAAGTAACGAAAAGGATAATGCTGACCGGGAAAGACTCCCTGGTATATACAGCATCCCGATTAAGGGTCACAGATGCAATAGAAACCTAGTCTACATAGGCTCTAAGAAGCACTCCTTAGGAGTTCGATTGAAAGAACATGCAGCTGATATACAGAATGAAAGGACCACCATTGCTCTGGCCATTTAAGCCTTGGATCTGGACATAGAGCTGCATTTTAATCAAGCGAGAATTATCCGCACTACACAACATGCACACCACCTCAGGTGGTTAGAGGCTATGTGCATATACATAGCTAGCCTTAGCAGTAATAACTGCATCAATCACAAGGAAGAGATAAATCTATCAGTAGCGTGGCAGGCACTTATAGGCAAAAATCAATGATTACCATCAAGCACTGGAGAACACATGCCCAAGAAGACTTAATCGAGAAGCGCATGTTCAAGTTTCAAATTTGTTTTCTTTGATCTGCATTCCATCAGGAATTCAACATCACCTGAAGAAGAAGAAGAACCTATTCAGTTCGAAAACGTTAGTAATGAACTGTATATTTTTTTGTTGTGAGTCATCGTGATAGAACACACTGGTAACAGGTTTGAAGACATTGTTAATTGACTACACTCTGGTGTTGAGTAAGTGATTTTGTGAAAGGATATGCTTTAGATAGGCCATTTTCATAACTCTTGGAGTTTTTTCTTCATTTTCTTCCTTCTCTGACTGTTTATGATTTAATTCTTTGTATAATTTTTCTAAGTCTTCATTCAAGAGTAGCTGATAATGGGCTTCTAAAAGTTCTGTCACATCTTCAGCTGTAACATCTTCCAACTTGTACACTTGTAATGCTTCAATTAAATTTTCCTGATGTGCTACTTCTTCAAAATCGTGCATGAATGCTGGCAGAAGTTTACGGCAAACTGCATTTAAGCATTTTGCTGACACTTCATCCCAAGCCAACTTGATGTTTTTAATGCCTTTCAAAATATCGAAAGACCACCAATAGTCTTTAACTGTTTTGTCTGAAGTGTCTAAAACTTGTCATTTCCATGAATGTATTACAGAGATAATAATCTTTGAAGGTGGCAATAACCTCCTGATCCATTGGTTGCAAAAGAGAAGTTGTATTGGGAAGCATGTAAACAACCTTGACATTCAATGGTGTTCTTATTTCATCAAGGTTTTGAAGATATCCTGGAGCATTGTCCAAGAGAAGTGCCTTGGGTGATAATTTATTTTCTTCACAAAAGCAAAGCACAGTAGGGCAAAAATAACTTGTGTACCAATCTGTGAAAACATCTTGTGTGACCCAAGCTTTCTTGTTCCATTTCCAATAAACTGGCAACATGTCTTTATTTAGACTCTTTAAAGTATGTGGTTTCTGTGAATGATACACTAACATTAGTTTAAGTTTCAAAGTTCCTGAAACATTGTGTCCCAACAAAAGAATTAATCTATCTTTTGCAACTTTAAAACCTAGAGCGGAACGTTCTTCATAAGAAATAAAAGTTCGTGCTGGTAACTTTTTCCAATAAAACCCAGTCTCATCAGCATTAAAGATTAGGTTAAGAGAATAGTTGCCTTGTTCTACATAACCCTGAAATTCCGTAGGAAAAGCAGCTGCCACAATATCTGCACTTGCTGCTTCACTGCATAATTTTACACTACAACAGTTACTTTGGGATTTAAATCTCATAAACTAATCCTTGCTTCCCAAAAAAGTTTCTTTGCCTCCATCTGTCTTCTTCAAATTATCAAAAATTGATTTTGCTTTTTCAGTTATAGCAGCTTGAGTCAAGGGAATGTTTTTTTTTTTTTTTTGATTTGCATCATCCACCCATAACAATAACAATATTTCCATTTTTTTCAAAAATTTTACGTCTGCTGTAACTCACATGTTTTACATTTACTGCCGTAGACTGTTGAGCAGAATGTTTAATTTTATCTGTATTTTTCTTAATGGTAGTAACAGTCAATGGAGGTAAGTTCAAAGATCTACAGACATTAGGGTGTGTTTGTCCATTTTCCATTTGTAGAATAACTTCCATTTTTGTTTCTAGGGAGATAGATTGCCGTGCCTTCTTAACATGTTTAGATAACTCTGGTGCACTTCTTTTATATGACATAATAACCATCCTTTATTCTTGTACAAGTGGGTATCTAAACATTTAGTATTTTAATATTTTTATTTATTTTAATATTAATTTAATGTAAATGTATACATGCCCAAAAATATTAAACAGAAAAAATAAATATATTCAATAAAAATCTTTNCAAAAAAATATACGTATTTTGGAAATGTTGAGTCGAATTAGTCTAGAATCGATTAATTTTATGAAAGAAAACCTTTCAAACAGCCGTAGTCCGTAAACTATGATTCCTACAAAATTGATTCATAAAGAACGGAACGTATCTACCGTCTTATAGGGGGATCTACTGTACTTTTTTATATGTGAGAACCTGAATTTGGAAGCAGTTTTAAAGGTTAAAAAGATTTATAAAATTTAGTAGAAAATTAGATTTATTTTACAAAAGGAAAGAAAGACCAAATCTTATCTAGTTGCAACATCTCTCCTTTGTTTCCTGTGATTCAGAGGAAGTTGAAGTTCCTGCTAGATTGAAAGTTAGTTATAAAATGGCTGCATCAAGAATAGATCTGATTGGTCTTCATATTTTCTATAAAAGATTGAAGCCTCCTTCCATCAGGGCTCTGTCACACTATCAGCCAAACTTTAGTCTTATGTTAGACTACTAGCCATCTTAGTCCTGCCTTCTCCATCATGAGAAGGAATAAGAAGAAAGGTTCTCCTTGGTAAATATGTAAATTATTGTAAGCTCTCTTTCCAAAGAAAGGGATGATTTAGTTAGATAAGTAGCTTTGCCATTTTGTGTATTTAGTTTATCCAAAATATTTAGCCAATATATCTAGAGTCACTACATTTGAGTCTTGTTAGCTTATTATAATATTTGTATGCATTTGTATATAAAATATATGTATCTAATAAATAAATAGTTCAGTAATTGGATTCAACTTGCTTCCATTCTCTGAATCAACATGACTCTCCCCATTTGAACATGTATGTAAAGATAGATGAAGTAATGTGTTTTAACTCATGATTTAATCTCCAGTCAGGAGCCTGACTGGAGATAAAATCATGTTGAAGATTTCATGATCTTCCAGTCTCTACCCAATACAATTATAGCCATCCACCGACAAAGTGAGTGGGCCTAACCATACTGGCTTTGCCAATAGGTGATTACAGTTAGTCGACCCCAACTCCTCCCCGCGGATTCTCACATATACTTTCCATAAGTCATTTTCATCATTTGAAGTATCCTCATAAACATTATTAAACAATTTGTGAATTGTTCTGTCTTTCAGCATTAGGAAATTGAATTTCTTTCTTCTTAGTTACCATGCTAGATCAAGTGATGTCAATGCTTTGCTACATATTATTGACTTTGTTTTAAACAAACAATTATGCTGATTTGATACTGTTACAACCTTATTTTATAATGTAAGCTTATAATGGGAGACTTCTTAGGCTTATAATGCTAGAATGAAGAACTTTATTAGTGAAAAATACCAATAATATCATAAATTTGTGATGTAATGTTCTAGACATTAATATTTAAATTTTTCTTAATTTTTAAATTAGAATCTTGTGAGAGATGTGGAAGTACAAGTAAAGGAAGTTCTCTTAAATGTAAACTGTGCCGAGGATGTGGTGTAAGTAGTTTCTTCAATATATCTATTTGTAAAAATACAAAAAAAAAAAGAATTTAAAAATAATATAGTAATCAATTATTTTACTATTTTTATAAAAGACAAAATAAATATTTTTGGAAGTTCTCTTCAAAAATCTTTTTAGTTAGATTAACTTCATTTTCTACCTAAGAAAACAGAAAAATTTGTAAGGCTAGTAACTAGGAATTCAGGAAATTATTGGTCAGTGGAACTTTACTACATTTAATAAATGAAAATCTCGGGTCAGAAAGATATCTGAGAGGAAATTTAAAAAAAAAACAGTTTATAAAAATTGTGTATTTATTTTTGTTTAAACTTTAGTAACCTTCAAAATACTCTGTGTGATGTATTGCACTTAACCAAGATGTTTTTTCACACTACTCAAAACAGTTTTTGAATTCATCAGTTTTGATGCCTTTGTAGTGCTTCTGCCATTTTTTGTTTCATCTCTTTCACATCAGAAAATCTTTTCCCTCTGAAGCTTTTTCATCTAAGAAAACAAAAACAAATTGCATGGGGTAAAATCAGGTGAATAGGGAGAGTTAAGATTGGTCATACTGTTTTTGACCAAAACTGCTGAACATTCAGTAGAGTTTGGGCAGAAATGTTGTCATGGTAGAAAACGGTCACCTGTTTGCCATAACTTCATTTCTTCTGCAAATATTCATGCAACCTTCTCAAAACTTTCAGATAAAATTTCTGGATTATTGTGCATTCAGAATTTGACCTGGAGGAACAAATTCTGAATGCACAATACCACATATCAAGAAACATACAGGAAAAACACTGAAAATGTCTCGAAAGAAGTTCACTATTGCAAAACAGCCTCTCACAAAAATGCCATTTGGTAAACTGATACAGAGGTGTTCATTGAACACTCACTTAGTCTGCTATCCAGAAGAAAATTCTGGTTTTTTGGGGTCCATTGTAGTTCTAACACTGAAACCACAGAAATTGAATCTGACTTAAGCTGTCAATGTAAACATCATACTATTATATCAAACTTTTTTTTAAATTTAAGAAAATGCATTTTATTATAATTTTTAAAATATTTTTTTTAATGATCATTCTCGTAATTGTTTAATATTGACAAAAGTACAAAGAAACAAATCCCAAAATATCATGACATATATATTATTGATCTTTTGAAAATAATCAAAAACCCCAGTCTTCATAGGCATTCACAATGGCCCAGTCTGGAAACTGTTAACCACTTGCCGTACGAGTTTTTTTAGGAATTTTTAATTAAACACAAAAAATACTTAAAACTGAAAAAAACGAAAGAAATGCATTAATTTTGAAGAAAAAGCTTNGTAGAGCGTCGTTTATCCGAAAGCTGGTTATCCGAAACGTCCATTATCCGAAAGCATTCCAGTCGGCAAATTTAAATTTTCGCTAGTGCTGTGGCGCTGCAATCTTCAGCTATTTTTCGGGCTACTCAAATATTTTACGTTTTTGATACTAAATTTTTTATTGCTTTTATATTTTTCAATAAATTTATTTTGTTTGTACAAAATAAAAAAATAATTTTTAACGATACAATAGTCTTCGTTAGGCTTAATATCAACGAAAATTCAACGTGAAGCAACACGCAATGGAGAGAAATTTCAACATGGGATAAATTAATATATTTTTTTGTACATGATTCGTTATCTGAAAAATAAGTTATCCGAACTACCCCAGTCCCCAATTGATTCGGATAAACAACGCTCTACTGTACTAGAAAGACTGCAATTCAAGTGTTAGCATTTTTTTTTTTTATTATTTTAATTTTAATTTTATTTTTAATAAAAATAAATATGTATTTGCTGGATACATATGTGCCTAGATGAGAGGTTAATAAATGAAAATTCTTTAATTTATATATTAGTCTCCTTGCATTTTTACATTAATAAAAATTGAAAAATACAAAAATTATATGGAACATGGCATCGTAAAACTATATAAAATGATTAAAAAATACCAATGGAAAAAATTAAATTATTTTCAGGTCAAATTTGAATTCATTAGAAGTTATTAGCCTTAAAATAATGCGATTATAAGCACTTATTTGAACTGAAGAATTCTGTTGGGATGCCAAAATACCCAACTGTTGCTAAAGTAATCAAAGTATTGTTAGCTCTCATTCATGGCAAGGCAGATGTTGAAAGAGGGTTTTCCATTTCTAGATTGGTTCTGGCAGAAGACAGAGCCTCTATGTCAGAACGAATGATGAATTCATTGTTGATAGTAAAAGATTGACTCCGTGTATACAACAATAATGCCTTTTTGGTGCCAATGACAAAGAAGTTACTTGGGTTGGCCCACAATGCATATGCTACTTACAAGGCTTTTTTGGACAAGCAAAGTAAACTGAAAGAAGAAGAAGAAGAGCAGAGGAAAGAAGAAGAGGATAAAATAAAAGCATTTGAACAGGAGAGAAAAAAAATTTATACTCTTGAAGCCGATCTGAAGAAAAAACAAGAAGAAGAAATGCAAAAGGAAATGATGTCTAGAATGTTTGAAGAAGCCACTAATAGACTATGAAATGCTGTTGAGAAAAACAATGTTGAAGAGATATGTCTTGCTCATGGGCTATTGGAAGGTGCAAAGAAATTTCAATGTGGTGATGAGGAGAAAACAAGAGAAGTGCAGAAACTGTAGCTTGACTTAAACAAACAAAATCTTTTTTAATTACAAATAATTTTTTTAACAAGAAATCAAAAAATGAACCTTGGCATTTGAAATTTGGCATGTTATATGGAGACACATTCTGGTAGTTATGTTACTCTTCTATTTCCTTTGCTGTATGTATAATGATGGGAACTCCATACAGGGCACATGAAAACTTAATGTGGACCCGTTCTGGCTTAATGCAGTCTTACTGGTCACTTTTCTGAAGTATAAACTCAGCCTAACTATTTTCATATTTAATTTTTTCAGTGCACTTAATAATCAATCTAATATCATATGCAATATTATTGATACAAAATGTGTGTGTGTTTTTTTAGTAATGCCTCTTTTAGTTCATTTTAACACTATTAGCTTTTTTCAGTGTGGACTCTCTTTTCTCACATATATATTCACTGCCATGACTTCTTTAAGTCCTGTCACTTAGAAATCAGAATTATTTTTTAATGAATAATACTGAATAACACATTTGATCACAGTGCTTAAGCAGTACTTCACAAATTCTGTCATGTCATAATTTTTTAGTCTACTGAAGAAAGATCAAAGCAAAGAAAAAATGTCTCCCCCCAAAAAATCTTTAATCTGGAAACACTGGGTGACATTGCATGAAAACTGCCTTTGGTTCTGAATGTCACTTTCCACTTTCCTGTCCAAACTTGTCAATGACATCACTAGGTATGTAGTGCATGACTCCCATCACACAGGAGAATGACATTCTGCTGTTTTTCCTGAAGTGTGCCTTGTGATTAAATTTTATGCTGAATTTTGAAATAAGTGGATTAGTTTTTATTGCCACTTTAATAAAAAATATTGCCAATTAGTGATTCTGGTGCTATGCAGAATATTGTGTTATATATTTTTGCTTTTCTTTCTTATTATTTCTAACATTTAAAATGTATTTAATTTATGAAAGATATTTTCAGTTATGTCTTTAATCTTTGCCATTTGCTTAAACTTTAATTAATTATTTATGGATATTTAAAGATGTTTTTTATATATCACATTAAGATGATTTAAAATTTTTTTTGTCATAGAATATTACAAAATCATTCAAATAAGTATTTTAAGTTGATGAATTGACATTTGCGCAGAATGTTTTTGTGTATCAAAAACACTATGCTGATATTATTTATGAATCACATATTAATAAAATTCCACAACACACATTATAGTATCAATTTCTAATATAAAATTTAAAGTAAAAAATTTAATTAAAAAATGCAATCTTTTACAATTCCCATATTAATAAAAATTTTCATTTTTGATTGTTGTCATTTTAATTATTTATATAATTGCGTGTAGTTATTGCTAATTTTCTTATATAGTTATATTCAGATTTCATTTGTAATATAATTTTTTTTTTTTCAATAGACAAAAACTGGTTCTTCAAAAAAAATATGTAGAATTAAAAGAAAGACCAATCAAAATAATTTGTCTGCTAACAGTAAGTAAATTTTATTTTAAATATTTTTATATCCTAATAGATTAAAACTTAAAGCTTGATTTTTATAGGTTAATAAATTTGCAAGAATAATTTTTAATTGATAATTTGTTTTTTAAAATTAAATTTACTGTAAAATTCAAGTTATCAAAAAAATTTTTTTAAGGAGAATTAAGTGTTCTTCTATTTAATATGTATTATTATTTAAATTCAGGCATACCTCACTAATACAGTGGGTTAGTTACCAGGCTACTGCCATAAAACAAATATTGTCTTAAAGCAAATTGAAATTTTTACTTTCCTTGCTGTTATATATAACAGAGGGAAAGTATTGCAATTGGTCAAAAAAATTCCCTGCAAGATTTTTACATTTTTGGACTTGGAACCCTGATACATTGAGAAATGAAAAAAAAATTGGGTTTTTTTTTTTTGTATGTATTGAAGTTGGTATGTGTGGGGAGATACAATTTTGTTCACCTTCTTTGAAGCTTAATAATTCCTATGCTTTTTGTTGTAAATTTCTGAAATTTTGCAGGAAGGTTTGTTTATTAGGGGGATTAATGCTATTAAATTTTGGTAATCAAAGGTTGAGGGAGTGGGGAGATAAAGGGGGTCATGTGTATCTGCAGTAGGATCAGACCTAATAAAGATTTTACTTGTTAGCATTTAAAATTTTTTATAAAACCTATCTCTACCTTCAAAATTAAGCTTTTTGCCATTTTTAATAGTTACAGGATCTGTTATTATCTATTTATATCTATTAATTTTTTTTACTTGTTAATGCTTATAAAAACCTAAAAGCATACTTACACTATATTAAGTGCACAAAAGCACTAAGACTAAAAGGATGCAAATGTAAAAATAATAAGTAAAAAAACACTCTAAAAAATCCCCTTAAGAGCAAAGCAAATGCTGAAATTAAACATAAATATAATTGAAAAGTACTATATTAATGAAACAGCATAAAGTGGGGAATGCCTGTAAATAATTAGGATTATATTATCTATTTTTATCTCATTAAAAATTTTATATTTTAGATTCATTGGATTCCTTTACTATTCAACTAGAAAAAGATGGCAAAAGAACTATCATAATGAATCAAACAAATGATAATATCAAGAAACCACCTTACACAAGTGAAATGGAATTATCAGATAACTTAACATTAGAAGTGTCTTCCAATGTAAATACTGTTGAAGATAAAAATTGCCTAAATTCTCTTTCATGTCATGATGAACTTACTGTTACATGTAATAACTCTATTAATGATGATGATTGTGTTTCATCAGAAAATCTTACTTCAAATGCAAATTTTGTTGACCTGTCAGACTTGTCAAGTGATAACTGTCCGCATTTTGATGCAATTCATAATAATAATTCATTTTTAGAAAACATAATATATGAGATACCATTGCAACATAATCCCACTTCATTCAAATGTACAGAATCTTGTTTTCATTATTTAGCTCAAATTAATCTAAGAAAACTTTTAGACTTTATTAATGAAGTAAAAAGAACATCACATGAAATTCCATGCACACCAGATAAATCAGAAAAAACTATTTCATTATTTGGAAATAGTTACAATAGTCATACAAAGTCCAGAACAAACACATTATCAGAAAATTTTGATTGCAATAATTTACACACATTTGAAATTGAGAATAACTGTAGTTTACTTAAGCAAATTAATTCATTTACAAATGATTTAACTGATAATATTTCACCAGAATTATCTCAAAAATCATTTGATTATATATCAAATTTGAAAAATCCTGATGATGAGTTTTGTATTTCTAGAGAGTTATATTTTCAAGAAGATAAAGATTCTGTAGAATCTTCTGAAAATGATAATCAAGTAAAAATTTTAAAAAATACTGTATTTACACAACAGAAAAATGAAGATTTTGTAGTGGAAATAAATAATAATAGAGAGAGTAATCAGTTACCTGAAACACAATCTCTAGAAAGGTCTGCTTCTGAATCAAGCATTGATATTGTAAAAGATGAATCATATGATTCAGTAAGTAACAATTTATCGGAAAATGAAAACATTACAGACTTAATATCTAGAAATAACTTATCACAAAGTTCAGCGAATAATGAAACATATATAAATGAAAATGAACCTTTAAAGAAAAATTTAGATACTGAATTTTTAAATAAAGTGAGAAATGATGAAAATGAAGTATGTTCAAGTAATATACAACAGAATGATAAAGAAGCAGTTAGTTGTAGAAAATTTTTATCATCTAGTGATCTGCAGAATTCTAATGATAAATTTTCTTTGCAAAATAGTTATTATTCACCTGAGACATTAGATTATGAACCTGAGGTTACTGTTATAATTTTATCAATAAAGGTATATGCTTTAAGCATCACTGCAGATATATACATGATATTCCAAAAGATGATGATAATGGTTCTGATGGTAATTCTTCAAGAGAGAAATCAAAAAAGGTAAGATGCATTTGAGTTTANTAGTTGTAGAAAATTTTTATCATCTAGTGATCTGCAGAATTCTAATGATAAATTTTCTTTGCAAAATAGTTATTATTCACCTGAGACATTAGATTATGAACCTGAGGATTGTTTTTCAAGTCCAGTAAAGACTTTGGATTTTACAAATGACATTTTAAATAATGAAATTTCTCCTAATGAAAATCAAACAGAAAAGAAAGTAGATGGAAGTTTACAAAAAGTACAGAATAATTGTGTGAATGATAGCCCATCAAATCAAGAACAAAACTCTGAAAGTTATCAGCTTGAAACAAAAAATAAACAATCTCCTCCAACACCAGTCTTAGATTGTGTGGTAGATGAAGAAGATGAAGAAATTTTATCTATGTAAGTATTTTCATACACTAGTTTTTATATTTAACAATTAAAATGTAATAAAAAATTTTATGTTTAATATGCCACTGTCAACATTTTTTTATCAAGTATATAGCATTAGAATAATTTTCCTGTAGTTATTTTTATGACATCTTGTTAATTTTCATAACTAGAAATTTTAAAAGAATGCTGTAGAAGAAATTTTCATTTGAATAGTTTTTGACTTTTGTATTTTAAAAAAGTACAAAATTTTAAAATTTCTACGTATTTAATTCTGTTAGTTTATTATTCCATTTTGTTCAGAAAATTATAATGTTTAATGATCACTTTCTAAAATTGTTTTTGCACCTAAGTTGCCTTCAATTTCATCTTTTATAGTAGTTTTGGCATTTTGCTCCTCTTCCAAATGATCTTGAAGAATGTGAGGCATGTCTTGTAATCATATGAACCTATAAAAATATCATACTTGCAATTAAAAGTGTAAAAGTTGTATAAACAAGTAGTAAAAATAAACAATTCTACTTTTCTAGTAAAAAAAATGAAATTACAAACATAACCAATTATAATATACCAGTTATCTATCAATATAATACAAAAGTAAGGTAAGAAAGGTAAAAATAGCAGGAAAAAATGAAAGAATTACATCTTTTCCACACATCCATGTAACACAAGCTGGCACAATACATAATGAGGATGGGTTATATGTATTTCTTTTGAAAAAAGTAATTGTTTTCCAAAACCAAAACACTCCTCTGTCCAATATTGTTTTTAGTACACACATTCCTTTGAAAATACACCTACTCGTCAGTCTGATCACACGCATTTGAAAGCAGTGGTGTACATAATAAGAAAAATGCTGTCCTGAGGACAGGGCCATTCCTGACGAAAGGTTAATTTCTATCAATCCCTTTTGAAATCAAAGTGGAGAAAAGGTTACCCCAAAAAATTCCCCAAATTTTCTGTCAGTCAATAAAAAAATCCCCAATGTGGAAATGCTAGATGGCATTGCATAAAAACTGCCTTCAGTTCTTAATGTCACTTTCTACTTTTCTGCCTGAAATTTCCATATGATATCACAAGGTGTGTTGTGCATGGGACTCCCATTGCAAGGGAGCTAAACATTCTGCTGTTTTTCATGAAGCATGCTTTGTGATTTAATTTCATGCAAATGTTGAAATAAGTAGACTATGGTTTTTATCACCACTTGCTATCACTACTTTACTAAAAATATTGCCAAGTGGTAATTTTGACACTACATAGCACATCCCTTGAAACTGTTGATATTGATTTGAAAAGTTACTTTATTTTAAAAAGTTTCTATTAACAGCATTAAATTTCTTACTTTTATGCATAATAATTTAAATTATAATATTTAATTGATTTGTAATATTAAAAATATTGATTTGAAATGTATTTTATCATTAGTTGTGAAACATATTCATCTGAGGATGTTTCTTCTGATATTGAAGATCCTCTTGAAGAAATTAATAACTTGAATGAAACAAAGGATGTGCATAACAAGAAGACAGAAAATTTAAATAATGAAAAAAGAGAATTTACTCGAGGTTACTGTTATAATTTTATCAATAAAGGTATATGCTTTAAGCATCACTGCAGATATATACATGATATTCCAAAAGATGATGATAATGGTTCTGATGGTAATTCTTCAAGAGAGAAATCAAAAAAGGTAAGATGCATTTGAGTTTAGACATTTAATAGCTTGTTCAGACATTGATTATATCAGTTAGTTGCAATGATCTAGAATAAAATAATTCTAGATACTAGTGTGAGCTGCCAGGGAGGTTGGGAATTCCTCTCTTTCCGACAGTTGGTCAGTGACCTACTTTCTTGTCAAGGAGGGTAGTAACGTTCGGTTATGCGTTACGTGAGTGGAGGAGAGTCAGAGGGGTCGGTGATAAGACGTTGGCAGAGTTGAGTAATGACACCATTTAAAAACAAAACAAGAGTTTATTTAATTCGCTAACTAAATAAAAAATTCACAAAACTCCTTCGACTTCATGGATGAGAGAGAGAGTTTACAATAATATTTCATACCTCTAGGATAATAGCGGATGGATACTCTGGCTTCAATTGTTCGGAAAGGTGGTGCGATGTGCGGCACCAAGTCTTCCAATTAAGGTCGTACAGTAGGTATAAGGGAAAGTTAAGGTCCATCTTTGACGACGTTCGTTCGATTGGCGACTCCCCCGAGAGGGGAAGAAGGATGGCTTTTATACATTTTTGTGGTGGGAAAATTCGTCAGGTGACCAATTGTTTTAGCAGATGTGGGGTTAAAGTTGGTATTAGAATGACAACATTATGACGAATTTTGCCAGTAATTGTAAACTATACACAGTTTGATCGTGAGAATGTTTATAGTTAGACAGAAAGAGTTAAGATTTCTCATGCACTCTATATTCCGTTTTTGTAGGTCCAAATTCCTTTTGTTAACAGAATTTATAAATTTAAAGTATTAACTTCCTTTAAGAAATTATATGAACTTCGAATTTCACACTAGTTATTTGACAGTTAAGCAATTTAGCAGATAGTAAGAGATTATTATTTCAGTAATATCACAACTAATTGAATGAAATTCAGTAATATTGATAATGATAGATTTTTTTTTCATTAATTGTATAAAGGTTTCAAAGTTCAGTGACCAAATTTCGTTCTTAGTGTATTTCCAGATTTGATAATAGTGGACTATTAAAACTATTTGATATAGCTCTGAGAAAAGGTAAAAATAAGAATAGTACATTTTTAAAACTTAAAATATAAATATTAATTAAATTTAATAAAATCAATTATACTCAGAATAATAAAATTAATTCGAAAAAAAATGGATAAAAGCAGCTGATGAAAAAAAAATAGTGAGATGGTGATAAAAAAAACTTAGAGAAATTTTTAAAAAATATTGTCTTATGTATATGCTTGAAATGAAATACTAAAACTTAGAAATGATTGCTTGTTTTTTAGATAATAATTAGAAAAGCCATTTTATTTTGTAAATCAAGTTTTATCCATTAATTTACTTTCCAGTAATTTTTAATTGAAATGAGTGCAATCAATCTTAAACCATCTAATTCCTTTATGGTATTGATTCAGTATATCCAGAAATCATATAAATAACCATTCAATTTAAATTGGTGAAATACTAGGTCAGTGGCTCTCAACCAGTGTGCCATGATACCATTGTAACTGTTCCATGAGATAAACCAAAAAAAAGTGACAAATTTTAAAATTTGTAAAAACAGTAACAAAATGTACTTCTATGTGTTATCAACTATATTTCAGAAGTTTGTACCAGTAAATTATTATAGATAGCTCTATGATCAACCTGTTGGCTGATCCAATAATATTTAATAATTGTGTCACAACCTTTGCATGATTGTTTAAGCATGTCCAAATGTTGAAAACAGTGCATTCCTAAAAATGTATGAAAGTTGAACAATAGACTTGCATAAGGGGAGTTTTGATTCCAGATAGCCAAAAACAATTTATAAAATCTCTTAATTAAGCAGGAAAGTTTGTTTTTTTTCAATGCATAAAACACTGCTTAAAACAGACAATAAAATCATTTTATTTTATTATTATTATTATTTTTTTTTTGTTTTTGTCGAAACCGTGTTGTATTTATGTATTGTATACTGGCACAATGAAGTGACTTTTCTTCAACACTAGGCAAGTTTCAATCTTTATTCAGTTAGTATCTTCTTATTTTGATGTCAACTGCCATTTCAATTTCCAATAATTCTGTTGTTGTTGTCGAAACCGTGTTGTATTTATGTATTGTATACTGGCACAATGAAGTGACTTTTCTTCAACACTTGGCAAGTTTCAATCTTTATTCAGTTAGTATCTTCTTATTTTGATGTCAACTGCCATTTCAATTTCCAATAATTCTGTTGTTGTTGTCGAAACCGTGTTGTATTTATGTATTGTATACTGGCACAATGAAGTGACTTTTCTTCAACACTAGGCAAGTTTCAATCTTTATTCAGTTTCTAACTGAATAAAGATTGAAACTTGCCTAGTGTTGAAGAAAAGTCACTTCATTGTGCCAGTATACAATTTTTTTTTTTGTTGGTACTAATCAAAACTCACAGAAAGTACTATTGCACAATTACTCCAGTTTCTCTTCATTGATTGAAAGATGTAAATTTGCTGTAAGAAAAAGCAATTTAAAAGTATTATCAAAGTATATATGTTAAGTTCTAAAACTGAAAAAATTTATCAGAGTACATTCTGACTTCTCAGATCCAGCCACAATATGAATTTCTTGTGGCACTTTCAAAAATTACACACATGTTTTGGCATATTCAGGAAGATCACAAAAAGAAATTTGTGTTGAGATTCCTTTTATAATCGACCAAAACACAATTTCGCAATGTGAAAATGTTGTGTGTTGGGGACATTTATTGATGAAACTGTGACGCAATGTTATAAAATAGCTGTACAAAAATAAGTAACAAAAATCTACATTGAAAATTATACTGAAAATAAACAATTACCTTCATTAATCTTTCATCTAAGGCAGCGATTCCCAACCTGTGGTACGCGTACCCCTAGGGGTACGCGATAGGTTGTTTAGGGGTACAGAAAAAAGTTAGTTNAAAAAAAAATAGTGAGATGGTGATAAAAAAAACTTAGAGAAATTTTAAAAAAATATTGTCTTATGTATATGCTTGAAATGAAATACTAAAACTTAGAAATGATTGCTTGTTTTTTAGATAATAATTAGAAAAGCCATTTTATTTTGTAAATCAAGTTTTATCCATTAATTTACTTTCCAGTAATTTTTAATTGAAATGAGTGCAATCAATCTTAAACCATCTAATTCCTTTATGGTATTGATTCAGTATATCCAGAAATCATATAAATAACCATTCAATTTAAATTGGTGAAATACTAGGTCAGTGGCTCTCAACCAGTGTGCCATGATACCATTGTAACTGTTCCATGAGATAAACCAAAAAAAAGTGACAAATTTTAAAATTTGTAAAAACAGTAACAAAATGTACTTCTATGTGTTATCAACTATATTTCAGAAGTTTGTACCAGTAAATTATTATAGATAGCTCTATGATCAACCTGTTGGCTGATCCAATAATATTTAATAATTGTGTCACAACCTTTGCATGATTGTTTAAGCATGTCCAAATGTTGAAAACAGTGCATTCCTAAAAATGTATGAAAGTTGAACAATAGACTTGCATAAGGGGAGTTTTGATTCCAGATAGCCAAAAACAATTTATAAAATCTTTTAATTAAGCAGGAAAGTTTGTTTTTTTTCAATGCATAAAACACTGCTTAAAACAGACAATAAAATCATTTTATTTTATTATTATTATTTTTTTTTTTTTTTGTTTTTGTCGAAACCGTGTTGTATTTATGTATTGTATACTGGCACAATGAAGTGACTTTTCTTCAACACTAGGCAAGTTTCAATCTTTATTCAGTTAGAACNTGCTTATTTTTTCATTACATTGAAATTGTGGATTCTATCAAACATTTTTCTACAGGATGTATGTACTGTATTTTTTTAATGTGGCAGTCTTTGAAGCATATCAACTGTGCAAAAAGAGGGCTAAATGTACTCAATGTTAACAGTAAATGCTGTTTTATTATGTCGATATTCCACACTAAAAAATGTGAGGGTCAGGGAATTTGGACAAAGTTGGTCAGGGAAAGTCAGGGAATTCAAAACAAAAATTTGAGTAGGAACCCTGAATATACCTGATTAATAGATATTTTAATTTTAGTAGAAAATTCTGGTCTGTAGATTTATCATTTTAAAATCCTTAGTTTTTTAATAAAGTTATGAAAATATCACTATAAAATTTGTTTTTAAAATATATATTAAAATAATTTGAATGTGTTTATTAATAATTTTGTAACAGTAGATTTTATTCTATATAGTCTCTTGATAACTAGCAATGAGTTCAGCGTTAACACAGTTTTTCTTATCTCACAAGTACTTTCGATGAGTATAAGTTCATCGTCCTTAGGCGAAAAAGAACAAATTTGAAGAAATAGAATGTGCAGGGTGTTTCAAGTAGAAAACGGAAAAATTTCTTGGCAATTTTTAAATTTAATGTGCAAAAGCTTGTTGCACGTTACCAACGGAATTACCAAATGTTAAATTTAAAAATTGCCAAAAAATTTTTTTATTTTCTACTTGGAACACTTTGCACGTTCTATTTCTTCAAATTTGTTCTTTTTCACTTGAGGATGACAAACTTATACTCATTGAAAGTACTTGTGAGATAAGAAAAATTGTGTTAACGCTGAATTCAGTGCTAGTTATCAAGTTATAGTTAGCTACTGTATATACAATTTTGGCATGAGTTTTTATTTATCTCTATAGTTCTTTCAGATATAGAAATTCAGATTCAAGATTGATATTTAAATTCAAAATTACTGATTTTTATAAAATAATATTTTTTACATTTAAAACTTTTCTAAATAAACATGTTGCTCAATGTATAATATTGGGTTGTTTGGAAAGTTCATAGCAATTTTTGATAGCCAACAGTTGAGACACTGATTGATGCAAAAATGATTAGAATTATACAAACCAATGAATATTATGATAGATGATCTTGAGATGTGTCTGTTACAAAAAAAAACCATTAAGATTATTCAAATATTGTTTAATTTGTCTCATTGCAAAAATGGATGCGAAAAACGTGCATTATCAACATTTGTTTCTTTTTTTTTTATTGTGAAGGCAAAAATTCTGTATAAACAGCAAAAAAATATGTGATATTTATGGTGGGAGTGCTGTAGCAGAATCAACTGTTTGAAAGTGGTTTGCAAAATTTAAAGCAAGTAATTTCAGCCTTAAAGATGCTCCCTGCTCAGGAAGACTTCCCATTATTGAAGAGGACTAGATCAAAGCATTATTGGATGAAAACCCTCATTACACAACTCGAGATTGCAGAAAGATAGTGAATTCATCAAACAGTACTGTATTTCAACATCTAAAGAAGCTTGGATACGTGAATTGTTGCAACATTTGGATGCCTCACGACTTAACAGAAAAGAACTTACTGGATCACAACTCCATTTGTGATTTTCTTGACAAACAAAATGAAAATTACCCTTTTTTGAAGCATTTAGTTACAGGTGATGAAAAGTGGATCGTTTATAACAACATCAGCTGAAAACAATTATGGGGTAAGAAAAATGAACCACCATTAAAAACTCCAAAGGCTGGTCTTCATCCAAAGAAGGTCATGCTCACCATCTGGTGGGATTGGAAAGAAGTCCTATACTATGAGCTGCTTCCACAGAATCAAACAATTGATTCTGATAAGTATTGTTCCTAATTGGTTAAACTGAACATGGCAATTAAAGAAAAATGTCCAGAACTGGCCAATAGAAAAGGCATTGTTTCACCAAGATAATGCCAGACAGCACACAACTTTACGAACATGCCAAAAATTATTGGAACTAGGCTGGAATGTTTTATCTTACCCCCATACTCACCCTGTCAGACTAGCATTTGTTCCATTCTCTGCAAAATTCCCTTCATGATGAAAACTTTGACACTTTGGAAGCTTACAAAAACCATGTGGATCAGTTTTTTTGCAGGAAAAACTGGAAAGTTCTACAAAGAGGGTATCATGAAGCCTCCCATAGATGGCAACACATCATTAAAAACAATGGTGCATATGTAATGGAATAAAAGTATATTTTTAGTTTTAAAACAGTTTCTTTTATTTCTGTTAAAAATTGCTATGAACTTTACAAAGAAATGTGGGTAGCCGGAGGCAAGGCAGATATCTTGCCCCTTTCTTGGCAACAGTTTGGTGGAAACTGCCCACTTGTCAGTGGATGGCTGGTTTATGTTTTATGATCCTGAGAGGTTGGGATTCTTTTTGTCAAGTTGAGCGGAGGAAGAGAGAGGGGTCGTCAGTAAGGCATAAACTAGTAAATGACACCATTTAACAAGAAAACTAAAAATTTATTGGATAACAGCTAAATTTACAATGTCAAGCATTGAAATGATTATCAAGATTCCATAACTCTCAAGTACAAATTAAAGGTGGCCAAGAGAGAGTTTAGACAACTGGTCATGATACCTCTTTAACAATTTCTTGGAGGTTCGAATTCGTCCTTTCCTTTACACAACACTCAAATTAATAAAATTGTGACTTGGACTCTGGATTGCACTAATTAAAACAATTTGAAGTTATGGCTCTTCTGTCAATTTCTGCGATGTCACTCTTGTAGTGTTTGGTCAGGGACTCCCCTGAGGGGGGATGAATCGGCCCTTTTATTGGTTCGGCTTGAGAAAATAAATCAGGTGATTAAATGTTGTCTAAAGCAAAGGTTATTTTTGCAGGTGTTTAGGTCATAGGTGTCCCCGGGACCATAATAAAGTGAAAAAATCGGACGATAACTGTAAACTTATGTCTTGCAATATTAGCTTGACGATGTTTGGCTGGATGACTGTTTAGAAATTTATAACTTTCCTTTAAGAATGTATAGTTGTTGATGGGATATTCAATCTTCTTTTCCCAGTGATGTTGTTTTAACAAGTCAGAAAAAAATATGAGGTGGAATAGTTTGAAAATTATAGGAGAAAAAATTTCTTTCTAAAATCTGGATCTCACACAAACCAATACATAATTTGGATGTAAATGAAGTAATTTGTAAATAGGAGTTAAATTAAAGGCATTATTATTGTTTATATTATAAATTTATGAAAAATGATCATTTTGAAAATAAATGATCACTCATTAATTGGTCAAAAGGTGTTTGCTCTAAAATAGCCTGATAAATTTGATTGTTTCTATTAATTTAACAGTTATTTTACTTACTATGAAATTCATGTTAAAATGACATATACAATATGGTCTTGTTTTATGCAGAGGTTGTGTCAGCAGATATGTGTAAAATGAAATTCCATGTAAATTTCTGCTCCATCCCAGGTAATTCCAGATAATTGCCTAGACACTTAAGAAACCATTTACAATTTATGTATTAAAATATTTTTAAAACATTTTTATGTTTGTTTTTACTGTATACATACTGAATTTTGTAATAAAAATGGTCAATTTGTCTTAATAGAATTATCCTGTACATATAAAGATTAAATTTACCTAACAATTTTTCATCCACAAAAATATGAATCTCTTCTGCATTTATCAATCCCAAATAAAACAAGACATTACTGTATTTTTTAGATTGTTTATATACAGAATGTCTGGAATTTCCAAATGCTGTCATATCTCTATTACTTATCATTTAGCTGTGGTTATTCAAAATGTCATTTTGTTCCAAATTGACTTCAGGTATGTTTTTTAAACTTAAAAAAAAGAGCCAGTGTGACTAAAAGGGACAAGAGAGACATTTAGTTCCACAGCAATTAGATGTTTAAGAAAATAATACACTATTGTTTTAAAATACATATATAAAGCCACTACTACAGTTCTGACCTCAAACTACTACTGTGTTTGCTTTGAACTTTGAGTTTCCACATCCAGTCTATAGTTCAACACCACTTGCATCTTTGTCCACTCCATTAGACTTTACGAAACTTCTTCAATCAGAAGAAAAATTTTTATCCTTTCTCAAAAACCTGACAATGCAACTCTCCATTCTTTGATTCCAACTTCTCCAAACCCCAAACATTCTATTTTCAAAAACAAAACATTCATTTTATTAAACTGATGACATGAATTTTCCTCACAATTGTGTTCTTTTGGAAAAACATGTTTCATGTTCTATACTTCAAACTTTTTAATCTATTCTATTAAAACTACTAAGAATTCTATAGGATTGTTCGTCAATTCTAGCATCCTCACAAACAACTTTTCCATTGACATTGAGGATTGTTAATTATGTATTTTTGAGATGAAATGTGTATTTTTTTTTTTTTTTTAAGGCCTTGCCATTGAAAAAAAAAATTTTTTTTGGTATTTATACAACCATGATCAGATGATAAATTACAGAGATTTGAATCTATTTGGAAATTCCAGACACTCAGTATGTGTGCATGAAAGTAACTAACATTTTTATATAGATTTCAGGTGTTTCAAAAGAGAAGGTGCAAGATTCACGTCCTTTACCTAAGAATAACTGTCAGCAAAATAGTATTAAATATAACTTGGCTTGTCAACAATATAGTAATGAAGAAGTTTTGCGTTATATTACAGAAGATCATTGGGGATTCTTAACTGCACTTTTTTATAATCATTATAATGATGGTTATTTTGCTAATTTGGTAAAAGATGCTTTTTGCAAACAAGCTGATTTTGGTTTAAAATTTAAAGATTTTGTGAAACTTGCAACAAGTAAGTTTAAAAAGTTTTTTCATATATTTATATATTATGGGAATGTGATTAGTTATGACAATGAATATAATAGTGAAAAACTTTTTCTTTTAAATCTTCAATTTAATCTGAAAATATTATGACATAAAATCATATTAAATGAAAATCCTTTGTTTAAAAATTATTAACAAATAATAATTAAATATATACTTTTAACATTTAGTCTCTGATTCTCTAAGACTATTCAATAAAACTACATTCATCATAAACTACAAAAACACCACTCATACCTTTAAATGCAGTATCAATTTTATTTTTTCTAATGTTTTCAGTCATTTTAAATGCCCTTCCTCAGGATAAAAACTTGCAATTTAAAAATAAGAACAAAAATGGTCCTCTGGAACAATTTGCATTTCAAACTTTTAATGCTTTAGAATCCTAACCATTTGATTGCATGTATCAGACTTCTATATAGATTAAAAATAAATTGACGTGGTAGTCTGTGTGCAGTCAAATGGTTGGGATTCTAAAGCATTAAAATTTTGAAATGTAAATTGTTCCAGAGGACAACTTTTGTTCTTATTTTAAATTGCAAGTTTTTATACTGAGGAAGGGCATTTAAAGGTATGAGACTGTTTGTTTTTGCAATTCTCTAAAAGTAATAAGCCAGGTAAATTTGTGTTATTAGTTGTCTTTATAATTTAGTTTTTAATTGGAATTGTATAGTTTTTTCAAACTAAAGTGTAGGTAAACAAACAAAATTCATTTTACGTGAACAAAAACCAATATACGTATTGAAATTAAATGATTTAGTTATTTTCTCATTCCATATAAACTTCTAAGCTATAAAATTATTTTCTCTGATAAAATTGCACAAATAATTAAATTAATGTTGATTATTTGTATAATACTCTAAAACTAAAACTTGATTATTTTTTTTCTGATTATTGACAGTTTTGTTTTTATGCTATAAAAAAATTATAAAATCACTAATAGTAACAGTAATGATCACTATTAATAGTATATTAAAATAATTGAAGATTTTTGAAATAACCAAAAAATAGACAGTCCAAGCTGATAACAAAGCAAAAATATTCAGTGTTCAAAATGATCTATTTCTTATACTTTTGATTTTAAATAGACAAAAACTTTGTTAACTTTATTCTTATGTAAGAAAATGCAGATTTCAAGTTTAGTTATCAGATTTATTTTTTAGGACATTTTTAGACTTTTTTTAGAAATTAAAGAAATTATCTCGGTCTGTCTTGTTAGAATACATTTATTCTTGCTTTATATCAAGACTGCTTAATAATTAGTGTTTTCTAAAAATGAAACTTTTGGCAAAAAGTATCATATCTGTATTATTTCATAGCTTGTAAATATAAGTTGTACTAATCAATTGAAATATATATAAATTTTTAAAAACAATTATATATTTAAGAGGAAAGTGAACAAATTATATATAAACAATGAATCCACAAATCCTATTTTTAAGTAATTTCAAACAAACTGCTGGATTATCAGGCTAATTTAATAATTAGATATAAAGTAATTTGATTAGAGGGAGATGGTTATTTTATCTATTTATGAAACTAGCATTTTCAACTTCATATTATTGTGTATTTTCACTAAACACTTTACACACTTTCCCTGCACAGTATTTTAATAATAATACTTTAATAAAACATACAAATGTTTTGAGCTTATTTCAGAAGCCTGCTTCAGTTTTCACTGTTAAAAATTTGAAATGTTGAAGAGATGTTATTTTCAGAATGCTTTACAAATTCTTTTACATAGATACAATATGTTATACCACTTTAACAGTGAAAACTAAAGCTGAAAACACTCATCTATTTTATTAAAGTATTGTGTGCAAAAAATGTGTAAGATATTTGATGTTTGATGAGTTAACAACAGTTCCAGCTTGGATTTTTGTATTATTGTGTATTTTTTATTTAATCAACACACACTCATTTATTAAATAGAGATACTTTTTATCAGAATTTTTATTTTCTTGAAAGAAATACATTTCATAAATATTTGGAAGTAATACATTTATTGTATTACTTTCAAATACTTATTTATTCTTATTTTGAAATAAGTGAATGCATATCCAAAAATGCATCAGCAAATTTATAATTAAAATATACTGTTTTCCTAACAATGTAAACAACAATCAACCCAATGCATTACAGTTTCCAAATGATTTACTGAGTTTTTAACTGGTTAAATTATGGCTACTTAGCTCTTAAAATTTTTACCAGATTGTTTGGAAATTTTCCAATAATAGCCAAAAAAAATTTTTTTTTCAAAATGTATAAATTATAACTAAGAAAAAACTTTCTTGGGCACATGACTAAAAGTGTTAACTAGTATTAAGTTAAAAGGTGATATGTTATGATGATATCAAGAAATGTGTTATATAAAATTAAACCAGTTTGATATCAATAATGTAAATCAAAGGGCATAAAAATAACTGTTAAATTTGACTCTTCTTTGATTAGTCACTTTATAATTTTGTGAAAACATAAGAAATCATCTGTTTGTGCAAAGATGATTTATTTGTGATTTGTCAAGGATGGCTAATCAAATAGCATTTACTCACCTATTTAAAAATTTAAATCAGTAACTGCTAGAATGAAATAAAATTTTTGTCATTCTTGGAAATCACCTAAGTGTCTATAATGATGATTTAAAATATCTAGATTAATTTTCCAAACAAACAAAAAAAGACTATTTATTGGGAATACTATCTTTATTGCTCCAAATTTCATAAACATAGCATTACAACCATCAGCTAAGAGAGATTGAGAATGGAAGAAACTTCCCTCAAAGATCTGTCTTTACTAGAAGAAAAAGGTAGATTAGTAGGGAAATAAACATATGAAGGAACTAATATTTCCTCTCTTCCTATCTCTCAAAAATTAAAATGCAAATTATGTTGGATTAGTGAAAATCCAGCTAATATGAAAATTTTAATATTTTATAAAAATCATTCTAAAAATAAGATTTATTATTAATAAATTAGAAAGTTAACACAATTGTATTGATGATACTTCTTTCTTTGAAGTATCACCCACAGATTATTTAATATGTCTAGTAATTACTGAAAAGTCACTTATTTTTTGCTGTTGGCTTAAAAATCACTTTGATAAGATTTGGAAAGACTGAAAATTCAAACTGATTTGCTGGTCTACAGCTTTCAATAATTACAATTAATAAAGTTCTGGTTTTTCAGTCACCAGAATACTATTAACAAAAAAGATCATTGACTTTATCTAGCAAATGACAGTTCTCAATGCTGTTATCCAGCATTTTGTCCAAGTCTCAGAAATTGTTTGAAAATCTTAAGGTAATCCTGTTAATTGCTCCGAAAAAATCAGGATTGAGATCTTTAGTAACTTGGACAGAGAATTTATTTTGATAAGTCAATGTTTTCTGTACACAGTTGCACAGCTTTAAACATTCCAAATTGAATGTCTCAGCTGTATAACATTCCAGTTTGAATGTCCCAACAAAGAGAAAACAAAAAGTAAATTTTGAGTTACATTTCATAATTTTTGTTTCTCTTCTCCAGGAGAAAACTCATATTTATACAATTAACAGCTGCATATGTTAATTGCATAACTGCAGGAATAATCATTATCCTCAAGTCTGCATCAGTAGTTTTCTTCTCTGAAAAGATAAGCATTTTTTAAAATTGAAATATACACAAGAGAAAAAGTATATTTTAAAGATCATAAAAGTTCAAAGCTACAATTGCAGTGTGTGAAGATTCTATACTGACACATTTTTCCTCTTCCACATCATCATTTTCATGATTTTAGTAAGAAATATGGGAGCTAGAGAGTATCTAAAAATGGAATGATTGCTTTTTAATGAGAATGATATATCATTGTCTATGGTTTTAGTCACAGTTACTGAAAAACTATCATCATTGACAGTTACAGTTGCTGAAATAGCAGATGATCAAAATTGCAGTTGCGTAAAAGCAGCAACTGCAATGAAAAGGTTGGTGATTCTGTTAGTAGCTCTTTTAAACAAAATAAAAACTCTTACTAATCATCATGCTACTAGATGCACCAGAATCACTCAGACTATTGGTTTTGATTAGAACCACTACAAATTTATTAAGTTTAAATTGATTATTTTTATTTTTATATTATTTTGTAGTCATTTAAAAATGTATTCTTAAATGGATGTACTTTTTTAACATAATTTGATATATAAGCAATGCCAAACAATGGCAGAGTGGATAAAACATTGAGATTTGGTCACAGGTTTACACCTGACCAATAGGTTGGCTATGTTTTCTTTGTGTATCTAACACCTAAATAGGGGCCAGTATCACACAGAAAGTCCTCTTGGAAAACATTATACCCATGTATTGTGTTGCCTTATCCCATCAATCCAGTCTGATATATAAACAACTGTTGATTTGAATTATTTTGATATTTCATTTGTTATGCAGCTTTTCTAGAGTAAATGGTACAACATGCTTCAGTTTTTCCCAGAGCACTTAAAATTACTTACAAAAGTAATCATCATTGAATAACCACTTATTAATAAATTACTCCAAAACTCATTACTAATGTTTTTGCAGCATCCTCTACAGTTCCATCAAGATCTCTAGAATAGAGATGAGAATATTATGAGGCCACTGTTATTGAGAAAATCAGTGTGTTCTAAAAGATTATAGATCATTATATCTGAAACAATGTGTAGTCCATTTGTGTTTATGGTGAACAGTATATTGGTGGTTTGTTCAGTCTGAGGAAAATGGTTTCTTGTTAATGGCTTTGAGTGTATATGGTCTTGTAACAGACACATCTATGATTCTTTGTTAATTATTTTTGTTTAAAATAAAAGTTTTTGGTTATATTACAAATTTATATTATTTGAATTGGAACTTGCAACATATTTGGATTTCTGTTTACCTGGTGATGAAGGATGTTTTTACTCCATTGAATGCTTCTTCACCACTGCTTAATAACACCTGTGCATCATCTTGTCAACTATAA